CAACTCGTATTGAAAATGTTATTGGATAGTTTCTAGGTCTACATTCCGAAACCATCAGACAATAGACAATCCATAGAAGTCCAATAACTATTCGAATACATAGTTCAATCCGAATAAATGACTTCCTACCGCCGTTTTCAAAATTGAACTCTAATTGTAACATCCGGTCTATTGCATATTAGGGCTCCTAAGATAAATCTGAAAATCAGATTGTTCTGACCTAAAGTTTGGCTCAATCAGTGCATAGCAAATACAATTTTTAGGTAAAATCCAGATCAGGAAAATAACCCAATAATAAAAATGTGTTTGCCAAAGTTTAAGGCCACTTTAGCCCCACGTTGGGCGCCATTTATTTATGTAATGTACAACTTGGTAAACTGGAAGAAAAATAGTTACCGCCTTGTATGAGAAGTAGGGAAATAACAACAAAAAATAAAACTACCTGTTCGCTGGATAACAAGAGGACTGGGAGCCATTATTTGCTAGCTTAAGTCGGTTGGGGGGGTTCGTGTCCCCTTGAAGTCCTAGCACCTACTCTCAACATAAACAAAGAATTTGTATATAGACTCCCATAACTGAAACTAATATCTGTTAATAACACACATATTGTTGAATGGAACTAGTAACCCCTACCAGTGAAAATAAATTTAAGTTGTTTATCGTAAGAAAAATATATAACGATTCTTGATGGTCTAGAATCGGTGGCCTCTTGACCCTTCCCAACCTTGGTCTTATTGGCCCATAATTTTTGAATAAGACCCCTTCTTTAAAACGAATACCCTTCTACTCCTACATCCTAGCCATTAAATAACAACTTTTTAATGATTCATCTTAAATCAAAATTTACAAAAAACATCATTTATTTAGCATTCTAAGGCCTAATATAAATTTCATTGCCATTTACAATTCAACTTTATTTAAGAACAATCATACATGTTCGATACAACGTGTTCGTTGTCACTATAATTATGTTCTGACATATACGCACTTAGACATGTACTTTAGTAATGATAAGTTGGATGACAGTTAATGATAATTAGCAAACATTAAGCTCGTTTCAATTACAGAATGATTATACAGTGGAGGTTTTATGAGAAAATATTTTATGATATAAAAAGTCGCTTAAGGTTTTGAATTCATAATTTAAGCAGTATAAGTTTGAATTGTTAAATAATATTTGACTGACGATATCTCAAAAAAACTATTCACGTGTATATCACACTAAAATATATATTAAAAAATAATTAAATAATTAACAGTATGAACGCTATACGAAATATCACATTAGCAACTTTTTACCAATAAAGTTATTCTTAAGATTCAAGAATTTCAAATTATGTAATTTACACCTGAAAGCATGTATGGCTCCCAAAAAAAAATGGAGAATAGGATTTTGTGTATGACTTACCACTATATTCAGTCCTTCGTTGACGAACGTCGAGGCCTCGATGATCTTCTCTTGGACAAAATGTGGCTGGATGAACAAAAATGATTAAGTTATGCTTTGAGTATTTACGTAATTTGAAATGTCGATGCCTGATATAGGGTGTGGTTGTGTGTGATATTACGTATGTTATCAAGACTGAAGAATTTGAAAATTATGTATTAGTAGAAATTTCCTTTTTTTCATATAATTTGAATGAGGAGCTCTTGGATTCCAACGTCGAATAGGGGTTGGTGTTGTATATTCTTTCACGTGTTATGCTTTTATTATTAGGGAATTCATAATAATCCTCCTGAATTCTTGTTTTTCCATAGAAATGGGGTGTTTTTAGCATAAACCTTAACTCCGAGGTCAGGAAGATTTCTGGAGTGGATCTTGAAATTGCGCAGCCCTCCTTCTGCACAATATGCGTTCCCACAATTTACCGGGCTGTAGCCAATCGAGACTACCAGAGGGCTATGGATGACAGAAAAACCTAATCACTTTTTGGTCAATATTAGAAAAATTGTATTTTACCTTCACAAATTTTAAGCTGATTGTTCGGTTTTATTTTTAATAGATTTTGATGGTGGTATATATAAAACACTTCAACTTCCTTACGCAATAGTGATTATGATGGCCGAAAACTTCATCAGATATTTTAAAAATCAATTTTTTAATAGTTGAAGAAAATTTTAATAGTTTTGATGAAAATGGTTGTGATTAAATTTTAATTGGGTGTCTGATTTAAGTTTTACTGTCTGATTAATCAGATAATTGAAGATTATATTACGGTGTTGGATAATACTTAAAATTATACTTCACAATTTTTGAAATGTTCACAGTATCGTTTTATGTTCTTTATCGTTCGGTAATCACAATGAAAAAGATCATTTGAATTTTGCTTTGGGTACCTCTAAGCCTCTCACATACCTTTGGGTTCGATTAAGTAAAACTCCCCACCGTGCCAGCTTTGCAAAATGTATTGGACAAAATGAAACAAGCGAAAATGAAACACGTACTGTTGGGGATCTATCACATACGTGTAAATGAGAGAAGAATGGCAAAATAATAGAAATATTAGAGAAGAGGGTAGAGCAAAGAGGAATCGCAAATAAGTTTGAAGGTGGTATTGGTTAATGGGGGGGGGGGGGGGTGTAATGACGATCATGATGAAACAGTAAAAAGCAGTTATAAATGAGGGAAGGTGATTGCTTACCCAGCACACAATTTTGTTTGACATAATCATAATGACATTAAACTACTAATTAATATTGAGAAATGCGATGCCGCGGATTTGGGTAGAGTCTACATTACAGTGTCGGAATACTTAACGTCGATTAAGCACCCAATCTCTAATCGAGCAAAACGCAAAGAAACTATATAGCGCGCCATCTGCCGGACGAACTTAAATTTAAACAGAAACATTCCTCACGCCCTATAGAGCATCTACATAAAGTGTGGCCAAAATCGGTGTAGAAGTTATTGAGTTACGGTGTAAAAACACTAAAAAAAATAAATATTGCGCCATCTGTTAGATGAACTTCAAACTACACATAAACACTCCTCACGCCCCATATTGCATGTACATACAATTTGGTAAAAATCGGTGCAGATATGTATGAATTGGTGTCGGAATATTTAACGTCGATTAAGCACCCAAGCCTATTCGGGCAAAACAAAAATAAACTATATACCGCGCCATCTGTAAAACGATCTTAAAAATAAAAGAGAAACACTCCACGCCCCTCGTAGAGCATATACATAAAAAAACGGTGCAGTAATTCTTGAGTTACGGTACAAAAACACAAAAAAAAATAAATATTGCGCCTTCTGTCGGATGAACTTCAAACTACACAGAAACATTCCTAATCAGAGCTCCGATTTGCTCGATTTTACTCGCGAGTGAAAAATACTCCCGAGTGGGAGTAAGTAAAGAGTACGAGTTTTTTAGGGAGTATACTCTCCACTCTTTTATTTTGTGTGGGAGTGCTCGCGACTACTCCTTGTTGAAGAAAAAGAGTGTGAGTCAAAATGTTCGAAATAGAGTAAGAGTTCACTCTAAGAGTGAAATCGAGTGGACAAATGAATTTGGTTGTTTGATTATTTGTGTGTGTGTGTGTGTAGTAAAAAACATTTCATGGCCTATAAATAAGGTCACCAAGGGAGACCAGCTGTTTATGGATACCTCTCAAGTTTGCTGTCAAAATGCATTATTGTGAATTGACTTCCATTATGAAAACGTAAACAAAGTCGACATTTTTGACATTAGACTTGAGAAAAAACAGCTGTTTTCCGATTTCGATTGCTATCTTGGTGACCTTATTAATAGATCTTGAAACATTTTTTGATGTTGATCTTTTGTGTGCTGTGGGGAGATAGATCATGTACAAAAAACATAAAAGGACATTGATTATTTTGTTTATTGAAAATGTTTACACATGTGAGGTACAAAAAAAAATCTTATACCATATACGATTTTTATGTTTTTTTTTTTTTTTTAATTTCATATTTATAAAATGAATTCAACCGTGTGATTTAATTAATTCAATATTTTTTTAAAAGCATAAAAAATTTAGAAAAGTATTCTCCAAAAATATTAAAAGCGCTGGTTTGAAAGAAAACCCATCAATGCATAAGTGGTTCATTATTTAATTTTAGTATCAAAATATTGTCGAGGGTTTCAATTTGGAGGCTGGATCGTCTTGCTGTCACTATTAATTTCAGCGCGCTAATAGCTCATTCTACGACAAGCTACAAACTAGGGCTGTGCAAAGAGAAAATGATCGGAGAATAAATGAGAACCCGCCATTTGAAATGACTTACATAAAGGGAACGCAGAGAACGAGCTTGTTAATGCATGCTTTCCCAGCAGTAATGCACACCAAACATCACAAAACAAAAAAACAATGCACACAAACCATAGACAAATGAAGGAGTAGACACCAAAATGCTCTCACCAACGCTCTCTCAAATTGAGTTAGCTAACAGGTATTTTCCTTTTTAAATCATATTTATAAAATTTTTATGGTAAAAGACAATAAATATAGTTAGATTTTTGCAAAATCTATAACACAGGATAAAAATATATAAAATCTGTCTACTTTTGCTACAAATTGGCTTTGAGTTTTTTGGTTTGAGTCACTTCACTAGCACTTTCTTGAGCACTTTGGTGTCTATACATTCATTAGTCTATGCATAAACAACATCAAGTAAAACAACGGTATCACAAAAAAAAAATAAATAAAAATAAAAGAGTACTCGGCAAGAGTGTAATCTGCTCGATTTCGAGCGTATTTCACTCCCACTCGAAAACGAGCGAAGCACTTGCGCTCTTATTTGAGTGGCAGAGAAAAATAGAGTATACTCTATTTACTTTTTCTACTCGCAGGAGTACTCCCGCTCGAATTCGAGCGAGTTTCACTCTTTACTCGAATTCGAGCGAGCATTTCGGAGCTCTGTTCCTAATCCACTAATCATTCATCGTCAAAACCTTCAATAAATTTTTATTAAAACATTCCTTGATTGAAGTTTTCGAAAAAAGATATATTTCGCGAGAAAGATACAAGAAATTTCAAAGAATTTATAAATTTAACATAAACGATATAACATTTTCCTTTGCATACGATGCTGAAGCTCCCCTCGACGTATCATTGTATGAATAACTTTTAAAATGCTACGTTCTTCGTACTTCTGTCGTAAGAAATCCTGTAAATACGAAGGTATTAGAAAACGCTAAAAATAAAATAAATGAAATAAATACCTGAACAACATTTTGTTCTGAAACTTGTGATCCAATAGCAAAGCGGCGCTTTAATTGCTTTTCAATCCTATTTAATATCTCCTGGTCCTCTTCTGTGGTAAAGCCTTCTGCCCCAGCCAAACTACCAGTCATGGCAGCATCTAATGTTGATACCTGGAATAATCGCAAGGATTCGTTGACATGTTCATCTGTTGCGAATGGTAATAAACTCATTTTTGCCAGAGATTCTGAAATTCGGATTATTGCTTCCAACTGGCGCACAGTAATAGGAATACTTAAACGTTTATCTGCTGACTTTTCTTGTTGATTAGCTCCACTACGCATAAGAACGTATCTACTTTTTAATTTTTCTCCAGCTTCTTCGCTTAAACGGGGGCCACAATGTGTACGGCAGTAGTGAATATATTTCTTAAAGAGGGACAGTGGAATTTCTCCCTCAGCTTGTTCTGTTGTACCTGCTTTATTCGATGAAAGGTGGACGTTTATTATATGTTTAGCTAACGTAATATCCCTCGATTCGTCGTGAACATCTTTCACTATGAAAATCATATCAAAACGGGATAAGATAGTTGGCATAAAATCAATATTTTCCTCTCCTTTGGTATCGTCCCAGCGCCCAAATATTGAATTAGCAGCCGCCAATACAGAACAACGAGAATTTAATGTTGTTGTGATACCAGCTTTGGCTATAGATATAGTTTGTTGTTCCATTGCTTCATGAATAGCAACACGATCATCTTCCCGCATTTTATCAAATTCGTCAATGCAAACAACACCACCATCGGCTAACACCATTGCTCCTCCTTCCATAACAAAATTGCGCTAAAATATATAAAATTAAATGTTTAAGTATAGTACGTTCCCTGTAAAATAAAAAAAGCAAAAACTGAATTCCTATTCGTTTCTTCACAAATAATTAAACGCATTTGTTTTAATCGAATCAATCTCTTCCAAAAAATTTGAATTTTTTGATGTTTCATTAAGCGGCAACGTGAATAAGTTTTTTATGCGCATCCGATTTCAGTAATCGCCAGTGAAAATACAAAAAATACATCTATTTTAAAATGATTCGCATATTTTTCGCGTATCTATGTATTTTTGACGTATGAATGTATTTAAAATAAATTTCCCTATATTCAAGGTACCTATATCCGCAATTTACACACAAACTTTTCGTCTTTGGAATACAATTGAATAGAAGCTACGACGAACACATTCATGAGATATACAAATAAAATCACGAGTTCTACATTTCCATAATCAGTTTAGCCCATTATTTGGTTGCGAAAATCTGGATTCAAAATGTCAGCATCCGTTTTGGGTTGAAGCAGTGATTTATTCGAAATATCATACATTAGAACCATATTGTCCATGGGGTATTCTTCAACTTAATCACTGATAACATGTGCGTGCTGTGTAGTTTAGCCACAAATCAGGAAAGAACACAAAAAACTTGTTGGCTTCAACACATTTTCACCCATTTTTTTTTACCACCATCACAGCTTCCACACAACTTTTGGCAAGAACACTTCATTTTATAGAAATGAATTTAAATTATATGCAATAAGTTCATATTTCGCGAGTTATGAGCTTGCAAACTTCAACTTCAAGAAATTTAAAACATTTTTGAATATACCCATATATATATATATAGTAGTCGATTTTCACAATCCTCCCTAGATACAAATTTTTTATCATTAAAGAAATTTTGCAATGCAAGAAAAAGATAATAATCGATTAAAACTTCCCAATCAAGCTTCTAAAGTTTCTGGCAAGTCACTGTAGATGTATGTGGCCTAAAGTTGTCCTGGTGGAACACGACACCTCTCCTGTTGGCCAATCTTGGCCGTTTCTGGTCAATTGTAAATGGTTTAAAACAGTTTCATGGTCAGTTCGTAGCTCCTGGGCGATGTTACGACTGCTAACATGTCGGTCAACTTCGATAATTTATCCGATTTTATTGACATTTTTGACGACCGATCTACCTGTGCGAGGTGCATCTTTTACATCAAAAATTCCTGAACGGAATCTACGAAACCAAAATTGCACATAATTGGCTGTTACAGTATCGGAACCATAAACACGATTCACAATTTTAGCCGCTTCGCTTTCAATTTCGCCTTCCTCAAAGAAAAACTGTAAAATGTAATGAGTTTTCTCTGAGTTATATATATATATATATATATATATTATTGTGCATAGAAATATAAAGATGAACATTTTCAACATTGACAGAAAGTATTTTCGAAACCCGTGTTTCGAGCCAAAAATAAATTGTGTTTGTCCTGTCCTGAAGCCTTCGTCGTTCACACTATTATTTTATTTATTTACTTTACTGTAATTTATTTGAAAATATATTTAAAAAACTACTTAAATTTGGTAAATTAAGTAAATCAAGCATTAATAAAATCAATTAAAAATAAAAAAATAGTCACAATATCTTATATATACATACATGAATTGCTGTTCGTTAGTCTCGCTAAAACTCGAAAACGGCTGAACGGATTTTTCTCAATTTAGTCTTGAAGTGTTCGTGGATCTTCAGGGAAGGTTTAAAAAGTGAGAAAAAAATGAAAATCGCGAAAAATTTGCAAAAAATATTTTGAAGCATATTTGCATTTCCGCGAATTTAGTATCGAGCTATATTGATAGCACCACGTCGTAGTTGTTATTTTGAGGTATTTTGGGCGAAAATTGGTAGCGTATCATTCCTTTAAGCCTACATTTGTCATTCATTGAAAATTTTCAAAATATTTAATTTTTTTAAATTGGATTGACATTGTATTGAAACATTTTTCGGGAGAATACAAAAAATAATTGAGAAGTATATTATTGAATGTACACGCGACAGGAACATTTTGGGACTAATGCAAGGATGGAAAATCAGAAGACATTCTGAATCGAGTTCGTGGCCTTTAGGGTATTCGGATTCTAAGATCCATGCCCTAGATTAATTTGCTTGAAAATAATAATATTAACATGTTGTTCCTTAATGTAAATGAAATGTTGTTATGCAACGGGAAATATAAAATCAGGTGGTTATATGCCTAATCGTTTTTCAATATCTTTGAACTTATAAACAGAACACTTCCCATATATCCCATACAAAAAATGTGTATCACAGAGAAAACTAATATACGAGATATTTTCTTTGCAAAATTCTATCATTAAGTTTAGTTGTAAAGAGAACAACCGACACAAAAAACCAGCAATATTAGAAAAATAGCATAATATCTAATTTTATGGTTGTACCAAAACCTCCGTCCGATGTTACCTATTCGTATTGAACATGCCAACTACCGATAACACCCAGGTTGGAAAACGGGAGTAAGAACCTTTAGATATAGTTCACAGTGTTCGCAAAAAAACGGTACACTATCGTAGTGTACCGTAACAGGAACACAAACACTAATAAATTTTTAGCGTTAGTGTTCCGGTACACAAACATTAAAAAATATTTTAGTGTTACTGTTCCGGAGCACAACGAAATTCGTAGTGTACCGCGGTCGGAGCACTAAAAATCGTAGTGTACCGCTGTCGGAACACTAAAAAACCGTAGCGTACCGCGGTCGGAACACTAAAAATCGTAGTGTTCCACTTGCCGGAACACTAAAAATCGTAGTGTTCCACTGGCCGGAACACTAAAAATCGTAGTGTTCCATTTGGCGGAACACTAAAAATCGTAGTGTTCCACTTGGCGGAACACTTAAAATCGTAGTGTTCCATTTGTCGGAACACAAAAAGATGTATTAATTATATTTTATTTTTTGTATGAATAAAATTTATATATTTTTTTCAATAGATTTAATAAATAGAAAACTTGTTAAATTTGTATTTGTTATTAGCATCTACAGTTTTAAATATTAAATATTTTATAACTAAAAAAGGTCGTCGAGTGAAAATTCAATCTGATGCCAACTCGCAACTGAAAATTCCATTGGATTACATTTTCGCTGATAATCGATTGCGCTGATCGGAAAAATGTATTGCATAAGACTACCTGTGCAAAAATCATAAAGAATATGTGGTTTTGTAACATTTATCCCAAAATCATAAAAATATTTTTTTTATACCCGCGTAATTTGTACACTTCTTTTAATGAATAAGCAGGTAATAATTATGTTGATTGTGTGACAATCACCAAATTTTGAATATTTTTGCTAAAATTTTCTAAAATTATGAATCATAGATGGATGCAGGTATAATTGTTTTAAGAAAAAATTTTTCTTACTAGAATTTTACAAGGAGATCTCCCAATATTATGGAAAATATGTTCGTTGTGTAAATTAATGAAAATTTTATCCTAAGCTGTATAATTTTGTCACAAAAACAGGTCAAAATACCTATTTCAAACGGACATTTTCACTTTTTTAATTGCAAGTAAACTTACGATTTGTATTGTTACGCTACGATTTGTATTGTTCCGACCAGTGGAACACTACGATTTTTAGTGTTCCGGCAAGTGGAACACTAAGATTTTTAGTGTTCCGATAAGCGGAACACTAACATTTTTAGTGTTCAGTCCAGAGGAACACAACGATTTTTAATGTACCGCAGTCGGTACACTACGATTTTTAATGTACCGCAGTCGGTACACTACGATTTTTAGTGTACCGCTGTCGGTACACTACGATTTTTTAGTGTACCGCAGCAGGTACGCTAAGATTTTCGTTGTGCTCCGGAACAGTAACGCTAAAAATATTTTTAGTGTTTGTGTACCGGTACAGTACGTTATTTTAGTGTACCTATCCACCTTGGTACGGTACAGAACACTATAGAACGGTACCATAATGTTTATTTTCGAACGCTGATAGTGCATAACTTCTGGGATGATGTTCTGCGATCCGTTATGCCAAATTATAGCCAACTGTATGAGATTAGGTCAATGTCTTTATAATACCGAAAATGGGGCGAGACCTGTATGTATTGCTATATCAAAACTTGGACCTAAATGGGTAATTTTTCGCAGAAATGTGTCTCACCTCCAATATCCCGGAATGACATATTTTAGATACTACAATGGGAATGGGAATTTTTGGTAGGAATATTTGACAGCATATGAGAAATTATTGGGGTTACCATTATATGGGTGCTACCCGGAAACTTGGATCAATATTAATAATTCTTTGTAAGGAGATTTTGTACTCACTGATCATTTAAAATATAAAATTACAGCCAATTTGGTTGAAACACGTATCCAAACCCCCAAAATACAGAGGAGTGGACCAATATTGACAATTTTAAGTAGGATTCATGCTACCAAATAAAACAACCAATTACAGCTGATTAGGTTGAAAAACGTGACCAAATCCCCAAAAATGTGGAGTGCCATTATATGGAGGCTTTTCCGAAGCTTGCACAAATTTTTAAGGAACATTTTCTACTCAATGATCATCCAATATATAAAATTACAGTCAAACACCGAAAATTGAGGGATTACCTAGATACTTGCCAATATTGATAATTTTAAGTATAGATATTCTGTTTTAAACCGTGCCCAAGATCTTCAAATTTGATAATATTTGGTACGGATATTTTCTGCTCAATTACAACCCATTCTGTTGAAAAATCGTCAAAACTTCTCATATTGCGAGGTACGGTTATGTGGCTACCCTAAATAGTGAACCTAGGAGTAGTAGCAATGTATGTGCAAATTTCAGAGCACTATCTCAAATCGTGGAGGGTAGAAAAAGCTATTGAGGAAATTATATCAAATTGATTGTTCGAGTAGAACAACATATATTTGATCCAAAAATGTATCAGTCACAACTGAATGAACAGAGATAAACGCCTATGTTGACCAGTATGTTTTTAAAACACAGCTAAGATTCTGTTGTTAAAATCTAATGAACATGACAATATTTTTCCAAAATAATATTTATACCCTACACAACTATGTTGTCAGGGTATTATAGCTTTGTGCAGCCCCAAGAGTTTGTAACGCCGCGAAATATTGGTCTTAGAACCACCTTTAAGTATACCGATCGTCATATCTCGACTAGTCCGTCCGGTCTGTCCATTATAATTTGTAAACACGATATAGGCCACATTTATGGACCAATCTTCACGAAATTTTGCATGTAGGATGGGTTCTGGCCAATGAAGACCCCTATTGTAGTAAAGATCGGATAATATTTAGGGGATGAAATGGACCAAATACTTAATTTTTGTCAGTTTTTCTGGTCGCTCCAGAGGCCGCAATTATATCCCAAAAATCGCGAAAAATTTTTGCATGGAGAAGGGGATCGGGCCAAAGAATAAGCATGCCTGTTTTGATAAAGATCAGTCAATATTTAGCGGGTCAAATTGGCCCTTACTTTTGTGTGAAAGTTACAAAATGTGTATTCTGTAGCGTATATATTTACCCCTGAGTGACATAGATCCGAGATGTTGATAGTATATCTAAGAGGAATGGTTGGCCTTTAAATTGATACCAGTTAGGTTGTAAGTAATCGGATGTGGGAGTTACACTTAAATATTCACAGGTGCTTACGTATTCAGATATTATTTAGTAACTCATTACCACACTAGAGGACGGAAATATAGCGCTGATCGCTTGGACATTTTCCATGAGGATCCAGGTATGGTCAAGTACAACGCCTATAATTTTCGGTGACCTCTAGTGGGTCAAGATGGTGCAAATATCGCGAAATATTACCCGTCCGACTATACTGCTCCGCTCACTGGTTTTTGAATAGAATGTGCATTTAATATATTTTAGCCTGACGGAGAGAAACATTTTAAGGTTTGACACATTTTCAAGATCTTGCGTTAAGCATAAAAAATTATGCTATCTGCTAGAAACTTTTTTTCAATGTTAGGTGTACTGTACAAATTGTTGCCAATTTTTATAGACTTTACAGATTTTTTATTTGTAATTGATTTTATCAATGCTTAATTTACCAAAATTTATGTTGTTTTTTTAATATATTTTCAAATAAATTGCAGTATAGTAAATCACACGATGTTTGAATAATGTTTCTAGCTGAAAGTCGATGTTTTTCACGAAACCCGTTATTTATGGAAAAAATTACATGCAATATTTTTCTATCTATAGTGGGACTCAGGTCGTTTCAGATCAGTCGTTGAAACGTTAAATATTTTCTTAGTACCTGTAGGTAGAACCGGTAGTTTCATAACACTATACCCCCTTGGTCGGAAGAAGCTGAGATGATTGGCGTGGTAACGATAAAAGCTGAAAGCTCTAGAATTCATATAAACAGATTTCTTTCCGAACGTCAAACACACAAATATTTGTTCCTGGCCTTTCCTTTCCGAACGTCAAACACAACTATTTGTTCCTTGCCTGTTATTGCAAGGTCTTTTTATAATAGCATTATAACACAGCAAGGGATAATAGTACCCCGTGTAATGACGTTTAATTAATATATTTGCAATGGAATATGAATAAATTGTTAACTTACTGTTGCAGGATCTTTCATTACAGAAGCGGTTAAACCAGCAGCACTTGATCCTTTACCGGAAGTATAGACACCGATAGGTGCAACTTTTTCCACAAACTTTAAGAGTTGAGACTTTGCTGTACCAGGATCTCCTAGTAGTAGTACATTGATATCACCACGTCTGCACAATCCATCAGGCAAACGTTTACGGGAACCTCCAAACAATAAACATGTAATCGCTTTTTTTATATCATCTGAACCGAAAATACTGGGAGCCAAGGACTTGGATAAGCGTTCATATATATCTGGCGAGGCTGCCATACGGCGAAAGGTCTCTTCCTCGTCACTTGTTATATTGCTGTATCTAGATATAGCACCCGATCCTTCTGTATCTACAGTTATACCGACGACACGCATATAAGGTGCTCTTACACCAACTACAGCTTTCTCTCGTCCATCTTGACGCGAGGGTTTGCCGACTTTTCTTATAGAATATATTCCTTGTATTAAAACACGATTACCTGGTACGACTCTTTCGCACAAAGACCTGTCGCAAAATAACTGCAAATGTCTAGGAATTTCGCCTTGCGGCACAAAATCGGGTAGTTCTTGCAACTTGAGTATTTGAAAATCCACACATTTACATTTATCGGGCATGACAAAAAACGGATCGAGGGGACATTTTGGCCTTCCCGCTTGATCCGTATTACACTTACGGGGTAGAGCATAGTCTTCCAACCCAGGATTAACTTTCAAATTGGGAATCACTGTATGGCAAGAACGACACATAATAGACATTCGTGTTGCTTTTGCCTTAATACCAGATGCAGCCACAATAATACCAGCAATTTTCACTAATTTCGAGACGCTGTCAGATTTAATGTCTCGAATATTTGTTGGATTGGCATTAGACATGATCAGAACTTGTATGTCATGCATATTTTCCTCTTGCTCTGGACGAGGTGCTGTTATTTCATCGGCAACTTCACGAGCAGCTTCCTCAAAGATTTGCAAGTGTTCTGTCGGCTGTTTTGTTAACTTATCAGCCAACGACTCGTCAAAACCCGCAAGGTCCTCCATCTCCACTTCCAAAAAATAACGCCCATTAAGGTAATTTCTCTTTAAAGTATCTCTAAAACATAATTTGATTTATGTATATATAATATTATAATGTTGTTAAAATATAACTTGTTACCGATATTTGTAGAAAAAATTATCTTCATTAAATGTTCGAATAAATTCCTTATATTTCTTTTTCACGGCTTGCATATTTATTTGATTCCCATCTTGATGTCCATCTCCAAGCAAATTATCGGAGAAAAATACTCCAGCCTCATCAAAACCTTCCATTGTGCGCAAAAAAATTAACACAAATTGTATACTTAAATGTTCCTTAAATCGAGGCAAAAAATAACTTTTGCAGGCAGAAGTACGGCTAACCCTGGCAAAAAATGGTTTCAACTGATATTCCCGCCTAAATTGGTTTTAAGGTAGCATCAAACAAATTCATGTCATATTTTTGTCATATACAGTGCTGCCTACATTAAAAACATACAAAAAAACGTCAACATGTAAACGGGCAAACACATACGAGCAAGGTAGATATACAAGGTAGCCGCATCGGCGAATTTCTACAACAAACATCGGTTGTTGTATTTTGATATGTCAAAAATATTTTGCAAAAACAAACAGATTGACAAGATTTTTTTACATAAATTCTTGTAGAAAATGTTAATAAAAGTATTGCCAAAGAAGCTCTTCGAAATTCGGAGGTTTTCATTTATAATTTTTTTTTAATTTTTTGGTTCAACATTACAACAACATTTTTGACATTTATTTGCACCAAATGTTAATAAAAGTATTGCCAAAGAAGCTCTTCGAAATTCGGAGATTTTCATTTATAATTTTGTTTTTTAATTTTTTAGTTCAACATTACAACAACCTTTTTGACATTTATTTGCACCAACAGCTGGGCCGATGCGGCTACCTTATTAAATATACCTTGTATACGAGGGTTCAGGCATGATGCAACAATAAGGTGATGTATACCACCAAAAAACTTTGTTTTTGTCTCGATTATCTGTCAATTTTTTTCATATAATATTTGAAATGGTTAGCAAGACTGCACATCGAATTCAAGTGGAAATCAAGGTGTATTAAACAAGGTGTATGCATCAGATACAACAACAAATGTTTTACAAAAACAACATTGTTATTATAGAAATTAAATTGTCATGCTGACAATAAGTTTTTGACAAAAATAAACAAAAAACAATTATTAAATTATTTTTGAATTTGTGTTATTGGCGGTTTTAGGTCAGTGAAAAATAAAGTTTAAGACCTGGTCGCGATTAGTTTTAAGTTTTCCACAATTAGCCCATGGCTCCTTGTGATGTTGTTTATATTGTGGATTACAATCTATTTGTTCTATGGAGTGGCTTCAAATCTTTCCTTCACAAAGAAAATTGAAGGACATGAACCCCGGCCAAAGACTAAATCATGGAAATTGTGTTGACCGTATAAAATCTTTCCATAGGCGTATTTAACCTCCGCCGAGAATTGTGACAAGCACCAAGGGGCCGATTTCAATATAGGCTAACATAATCTCCTCGATTTGATGAGTAGCTGGGATTTCTGGACAGATTTCCACACATAACATAAAATATGTGGACCAATCGGCGAACGGGGTTACAACTGAGCCTAGGTTTCCTTTCTGCCCCCCTCTTTGGATGCAGTTTCCTTGAATTTTTATTATTTTAAAAGCCTAAATTTAAACGCCATTTTTGAAATCGAAATATAGTATTGAATATGTTTTTGACAATTTAGTTTACAAACTATAAAGAAAAAAGTTTGAATCCATATGATTGTCATTTACACCTTATTAAATACACCTTGGTAGAAATTACCCACTTTGACAGTTAATCAAGACATCAGCTGCGCTAAATGGACTACCTATTCATTGTACCATGCAAGGTGTATTTAATAAGGTAGGCGCATCGGACCAGCTGTTGGTGCAAATAAATGTCAAAAATGTTGTTGTAATGTTGAACCAAAAAATTAAAAAACAAAATTATGAATGAAACTCTCCAAACTTCGAAGACCTTTTTGGAAATAATTTTATTAATATTTTCTACAAGAATTTGTGTAAAAAAATCTTGTCAATCTTTTTGTTTCTGCAAAATATTTTTGACATATCAAAATACAACAACCGATGTTTGTTGTAGAAATTCGCCGTTGCGGCTACCTTGTATATCTACCTTGGTACCATGGGTTCAGGCATGGTGTGGGAATATCAGAGTCAAACTTAAGGTTTAACGCCGTTCTCCTTTATTCTTTTACAATAAAAGCATGGTACAATTATATAGGTAAAGGGAAAACACTTAATGCACAAAAAGGGGCACATAAGAGGACTTCAGGATTGGCATGTTAAGTTGGCTTCTTTTATTTTAAAATAATAATGGTGAAGCCAACTTAACACGCCAGGGATGAATCCTACTATGATTTCCCCCTTTACAGCAAAACCCAGCTAATTTGATCCCAACGTAATTTGATCCCATATAAATATGACAAATTATATTTTTAAAAATGACCCAACAGGAAAGCATGGCCTGAATCCTCGTATGTGTTTCCCCCTTAGGCCTAGCATGTTAAGTTGGCTTTGTATGAAATCTGAGAGCTGATCGCTCTTTTTAGTTCTAAAATCCTTTTTTATAGATACATTTTATAACATTGGTAAGAAGAAATTTATGATTTGTAGATGAATCAATATCTAAATCATATTCCCAACGCGATTTTGAGAAGGAACCCTGACATTCCATTCATTTTGTTGAGATGTCAACGGCCACATTTGTATTTTATATATATCTGTGAACAACATATGAATTAACTTTAATTAGCATTCTTTTTATAAACATAACTTAGTATATAATCTTCTATCAATAAAAATACAAATAAACAATAGCCCCATACATTTTCGGAGCTCAACCGGGATCCTAAACAAAATTTAGCAGAAGTCAAGGTGTTGAAAATAAAATGAATGTGCTAAAAAATTAAAAGACATTAAAAACAGAAAGCAACAAAAACAAGAGAAAATCAAAATGTTTATTTAAATTCAAATCGAGACGTGTACACAATACGAGAAAAAAGAAACAAAACGACCGATACATTTTGTGTTTTTTGTTTGTTTTTGAAATAAAAACGCCCGAACAATAACGGAAAATACGTTACATTTTGTATATTATGAAAGCCGCAGAAAAACAATGAGTAGTTTGGAATGTTTGTGTGAAAATATTAGTAGGAATAGAAAGGAGATCGTAACTGCCCTACATAAATTTGTTTTTGAGTCAGAAGGAGACTGATCAAAACAGACAACCTTTTGAGAGAATTCCAAGGTTTTGATGGGTCGAGAATTCGTTTCAGTATCAACAAAAAGCTAAATACGCAGTTGACGACAGCATATTTAGTTTCAACTTGCAACGTCATAGGCATAGACTACAACAGCAGCGACCTGCATATTTCCAAAAATTTACAAACGAGTAGTTTACTTACAAGTATCATTGAAGATAACGACGCAGCAGATGTGATGATTATGAGAATAAAACCAACCCTCCAAACAGCAACCCGTGGAAACAACAAAACCGAAGTAGTACGGCAACATATAGAGAAAACTACAAACAACGAGAGAATTTCAAACAACATTATTTGTACAAAGTGAACGATAATTAACGAGCTGGGATAAATTGAAAGCGGCACTTCGTGAAGAATTTTCTAATAAAATAAGTAGTGCTCAAATACACAAACTTTTCTGCAAGTGAAAGATGACAAGAGAGTGATTTCGAGTATTTTTTCAGTGTAAGAGATTGCAGAATTAGTATTAGTAGATGAAAGCTCTCTTATACAGTATGTGATTGATAGAATATCTAAACATAAACATATGATGGAAAACAATTATGAAAGCGCTAACCAAAAAAAAAAAAAAATAAACAAATGAAAAGTGACAATAACAATAGTAAGAAGGAAATTAAATGTTTTAATTGTGGTGTTAAAACGGCATGTAAATTAGAACTTTTTGCACTTTATGACCCACTTTAATGGGATTGACAATTAAAACTCACTGGGTTAATTAAATCCGGTACAATGTAAACGTACTATTAAGACCACAAATAAAGGGATTATAGAAACAAGATTAAAGGTTAAAAATGTTTTAAGTGCGATCAATTCAATCAAATAACCAAAGTCTGCGTATCAGATATTGCAAAACAATCAAAAACAAGATTCTTAGAAACAAAAGACGAGATGATGAAAGGAACAGTGGAAATTGACATTTTTTGACACTTGCAGTAAATTTTCATAAAATTTTATTGTAAAATAAAACCGTGTAATGGAAACTTTTGCTTAGCTGGAAGCCAACCAATTGGATAATTCGTGACAAACGTGATGATTGATGGATAGGACTATAATATAAATTTTATAAATAAATAAATTAAACCACTGATGCGGAAACAAAACCAAAATTAGAAATAGATGAAATGGTAAATAAAGAAGCTAAGGCACAGACAACCGAAATCATTAGAATATATAAGCCGGAAAAGTGTAAGTCTATAAATATTGAAATTAATATTGTTCTTGCTGAGGATAAGCCAATATCAACAACGCCTAGACGACTTCCCTTAGTTAAAAAATGTGTCGTAGATAATCAGTAGATCTTGCAAAAAAGCAAGACTTTGTGTCGATTACCGACTGTTGAATAAAATTATGGTTAAAGATAATGGAAATTATCTTTAACTATAATAACCATAACCATTGCACTAATAGAAGGCATTTTGGTCTTCAGAACGCCAGAATTTTCATTGCGATAGACCTTAAAAATGGGATTTTGCAAATCCCAGTAGCCGAACCAAGCCGAAAATTTACATCATTCGCGACCCATATTTTTGAAAAGTACCTTTTCGATTGTCGAATTCACTATCTGTTTTTCAATGATGCGCTAAGGCAATATTCCGAGAAGTAAACCGTAAATGCATAGCATTGCCATACGTTGGTGATATCATTATACCAGTTGCTAATGACATATGGACAGAAATGTAAACAAATACCCAAATAAAAATTTTATATACATACATATTTTGAATTTTAAATTACAATTCAAATATTTCCATGTATTTTTTCTGGAAAGGCTGTATAGCGGTACGTAATATCTGAAAGAAATATTCGTCTTAATTTATTTTCTTTTAGCACATTTAGCCATTGTAGTGGTCGTTAAATGAAGAAATTAGAAAATTGTATGTGCTTGCGTGCGGAGAATCCATAGGTGTGTTTTTGTAAACAATACCACTGGCCGATCCTGTTCC